TACTTGAAGATGTAACTAGGAAGCGAGTGTTTCTTGCGTCTCCTGGACGGAGGCAAAAATGAAACAAAAAACACAATAAAAACATTAGAAAAACAGTGCAAAAGCAAAAAAAAAAAAATACAAAAATAAAAACATTACAAAAATGCTAAATGAACAATACAAAAACAAAACAAAAACCAGGTCAAAAAGCAGGTTAAAAAGCAGGTCAAAAAGCAGGTCAAAAAGCAGGTCAAAAACCAGGTCAAAAACCAGGTCAAAAAGCAGGTCAAAAACCAGGTCAAAAAGCAGGTCAAAAAGCAGGTCAAAAAGCAGGTCAAAAAGCATGGCCAAAAGCAGGTCAAAAAGCAGGTCAAAGGCAGGTCAAAAAGCAGGTCAAAAGCAGGTCAAAAAGCAGGCCAAAAAGCAGGTCAAAAAGCAGGTCAAAAGCAGGTCAAAAAGCAGGTCAAAAAGCAGGTTAAAAAGGTCAAAAAGCAGGTCAAAAAACAGGTCAAAAAGCAGGTAAAAAAGCAGGTCAAAAAGCAGGTCAAAAATGTCAAAAAGCAGGTTAAAAAGGTCAAAAAGCAGGTCAGAAAGCAGGTCAAAAGCAGGCCAAAAGCAGGCCAAAAAAACTGGACAAAAAACTGGACAAAAACAGTATCAGTTCTTGCTGGAATCCTCTTACCCGAGGTTCATCGTTCTGTAAAGTTGAAATAAATATGAAAAGACAATAGGAAGTATAAGATTTTTTTATATAGGTAGTGATTGTGTGGTGGTTAGTGATTGTTGTGGGGTGTGTGATGTTGTGGTGGTTGTGGTGGTTTGGTGGTGTTGTTGTGGTGGTTGTATGATTGTTGTGGGTTGGGATGTTTTTGTTGTGGTGGTTGTTGTGATGTGGTGTGTGGTGGGTAGTGATTGTTGTGGTGGTTGTTGATTGTTGTGGTGGTTGTGATGTGTTGTGGTGGTTGTAGTGATTGGTTGTGGTGGTTGGGTGATTGTTGTGGTGGTTGTAGTGATTGTTGTGGTTGGTGATTGTTGTGGTGGTTGTAGGGATTGTGTGGTGGTTGTAGTGATTGTTGTGTGGTGGTTGTTGTGGTGATTGTTGTGGTGGTTGTAGTGATTGTTGTGGTGGTTGTAGTGATTGTTGTGGTGGTTGTAGTGATTGTTGTGGTGGTTTGTGATTGTTGTGTGGTTGTAGTGATTGTTGTGGTGGTTTGTGATTGTGTGGTGTTTGTGGTGATTGTTGTGGTGGTTGTGTGATTGTTGTGGTGGTTTAGTGATTGTGTGGTGGTTGTGGTGTTGTTGTGGTGGTTGTAGTGATTGTTGTGTGTGGTGATTGTTGTGGTGTTGTGATTGTTGTGGTGGTTGTAGTGATTGTTTGTGGTATGTTGTGTGGTGTAGTGATTGTGTTGTGGTGGTTGTGGTTGATTGTTGGTGGTTGTGGATATTGTTGGTGGTTTGATTGTTGGTGGGGTTGTGGTGATTGTTATGTGGTTGTGGTGATTGTTGTGGTGGTTTGTGTGTGATTGTTTGGTTGTGGTGATTGTTGTGGTGGTTGTAGTGATGTTTGTGTTGTGATTGTTGTGGTTTGTGGATGTTTGTGGTGGTTGTGGTGATTGTTGTGGTGGTTGTGGTGATTGTTGTGGTGTTATGGGGATTGTTGTGGTGGTTGTGGTGATTTGTGGTGGTTGTAGTGGTGGTTGTGGTGATTTTTTGGGGTGGTTGTGGTGATTGTTGTGGTGGTTGTAGTGATGTTGGTGGTGGTTGTGGGGGTTGTGGTGATTGGTTATGGTGTGTTGTGGTGGTTGTTGTGGTTGTGGTGATTGTTTGGTGGTTGTGGTGATTGTTGGGTGGTTGTGGTGATTGTTGTGGGATTGGTGTGATAGTGATTGTGGTGGTGGTTGTTGTGATGGTTGTGGTGGTTGTGGTGATTGTTGTGGTGGTTGTGTGATTGTTGTGGTTGCGGTGATTGTTGGTGGTTGTGGTGATTGTGGTGGTTGTGGTGATTGTTGTGGTGGGTGATTGTTGTGGTGGTTGTGGTGATTGTTGTGGTGGTTGTGATTGTTGTGGTGGTTGTGGTGATTGTTGTGGTGGTTGGTGATTGTTGTGGTGGTTGTGGTGATTGTTGTGGTGGTTGTAGTGATTGTTGTGGTGGTTGTGGTGATTGTGTGGGTGGTTGTAGTGATTGTTGTGGTGGTTGTGGTGATTGTTGTGGTGGTTGTGGTGATTGTTGTGGTTGTGGTAATTGTTGTGGTGGTTGTGGTGATTGTTGTGATTTTAATGGTCTTGTAGGATAGTGGTGATGATTCCTGTGGTGGTGATTCCTGTGGTAGTGTAGGATGGTGGTGATTTTGTAGTGGTGATTGTTGCGGTGGTGTAGGATGGTGGTGGTGGTGATTGTTGGGGTGGTGTAGGATGGTGGTGGTGGTGATTGTTGCGGTGGTGTAAGATGGTGATTTTTGCGGTGGGAATTGTTGCGGTGGTGTAGGATGGTGGTGGTGATTGTTGCAGTGATATAGGGCGGTGATGGTGTTTCTTGTGGTGGTGATTGTTGCGTTGTAGGGTGATGGTGGTGGTGATTCTTTTGGTGGTGATTGTTGGTGTAGGGTGGTGGTGGTGATTGTTGCGGTGGTGTAGGGTGATGCGGGTGAGTCTTGTGGCGGTGATTGTTGCGGTGTAGGGTGGTGGTGATTGTTGCGGTGTAGGATCGGGGGTGGTGATGAGGTTTAGTAGGGTGGTGGTGGTGATTGTTGCAGTGATGTATGGTGGTGGTGATTGTTGAGGTGTAGGGTGGTGGTGATTGTTGCGGCGGTGTAGGGTGGTGGTGGTGATTGTTGCGGTGGTGTAGGATGGTGGTGGTGATTGTTGTGGTGTAGGATGATGGTGGTGATTGTGGATGACTGAAACACCTGTAATGTTAGTTATAAAGACACAAGTCCAACTAATGTGACATCTTGTAGTGGCAACGTTTCGCTCTCCAGGAGCTTTATCAAAGCTTGACAAAGCCCCATTATTAAAACTTGTAATGGTTGTGGTGGCAGTGGGGGGGTACCAGTGGGAAGAGATAGTGGCGCTGACAGAGTGGTAACTTACCTTGTGTAGGTAGGCAGGCAGGTGCTTGCTGGCTTGGGTCATTAGTACCTGCTGGTACAGCCTCTGGTGTGTGAGTGTGAGTGTGAGTGAGAAAGAGAGAGAGAGAGAGAGAGAGAGAGAGAGAGAGAGAGAGAGAGAGAAATTTCTCCCCTTAGGCATATTTACCTCCCATTATCCAGGTGCTATATGATCCCTTAATAATAGACCATAAAAATTATGGAGCACTGAAGTATGCCTACTGGCCTATGCTAGGCAGGTCCAACTCGCACCCACTGATCAATAAAGAACAGTTCTAGAAAGCGCAGCCTGAAGAAGAGCAGAGGAGATATGATTACGACGTACAAGATTCTCACGGAAATGAGAAGCCCTGCATCAGTAGCAACGCACTGACCAGGCTTCGTGGAGTCGTGCGTCAATAGACATGCATCAGGCAGACTCTCCCAGTTACCCTTGACGTTAATGACTAAATTACAGCACAGCTAACGAGACGCGATGTGGTAAGGGAGTGGATTGCTGGACAATAACTGCAATGGTTGGGAAGGTGGAGGAGAAGGTGGAGAGAGGTGGTGGAGGAGGAGGAGGTGGGGAGGTGGTGGAGGAGGAGGTGGGGAGGTGGTGGAGGAGGTGGTGGTGGAGATGGAGGAGGGGGAAGTGGTGGAGGATGAGGTGGAGGAGGATGAGGAGGAGGTGGGGAGGTGGTGGAGGAGGAGGAGAGGTGGAGGAGGTGGTAGAGGAGGTGGAGATGTGCTGGAGAAGGTGGTGGAGGTGGTGGAGATGGACGAGAAGTCTAGCACAGTTAGTCACAACATAAGTCATACAGTAGACGTGAAGACAAACAATCATGACAATACAGTAACTTAATACAGTAACTTAATCCAGTAACTTAATACAGTAACTTAATACAGTAACTTAATACAGCACGAGGTCAATTTTTATGGGACTGGAAGCCTTCAAGCGGGAGCCTTGATGCTGCAGGAAGGCTCTTGATGTGAGGCATTTGAGCTACCCGTCACCTTGAAATCTGATTTTAATTGATCGTGGAGGCTCGATCCACCGTCTGTGTTGTTCAACACAGTGAGCGCTGAATTATTACCTACTAATCTGTAAAAAAAAAAACTATAATCTCCTAGTCCGGCTTCCCCAGTCGATGAAGAACGTCAGGAAATCTAACGTTGTGCCAACACTGGTTATGCACGTTCTTTATCGTTCACAAGCGCATGTTCATTCAGAAACACGCTCTTTTAGACTCTCACAAACGCACGTTCGACATAGGACAGGTTACATAACAAGACCAGGGCAAAATTAAAGTACAGTTATTGTAGCATGTGGCGCCAGACGGGGCCAGGGCGGGCCAGGCCGCCGCCAGGGCAGGCCAGGACGGGCCAGGCTCCCGCCAGGGTGGGCTAGGCCCCTGCCAGGGCGGGCTAGGCCCCGCCAGGGCGGGCCAGGCCCCTGCCAGGGCAGGCCAGGCCCCTGCCAGGGCGGGCCAGGCCCCTGCCAGGGCGGGCCAGGCCCCACCAGGGCGGGCCAGGCCCCACCAGGGCGGGCCAGGCCCCACCAGGGCGGGCCAGGCCCCACCAGGGCGGGACTGGCCACCGCTAGGGCTGGAGTACCTATTATCAACATTGTGCTCTATCATCTAATCACACAACTCCGAGCCCATGAGCTTCTCTTGCCAGGGTCGCCCAATCAGCGAACAGGGATTCTGTCACTCTCCTGAAGCTCACCAATCACGAACTCCTAAAATGTGACGTCATAAGCAGACGTAGCCAATAGCAACGTCGCCTGAGTCTTGTAGGCGCAACTTAAAACTTCAGCGAGAAATGCTGGCCCCAGTAACCCGCTAATTCTCCCTAAGGGCTAGTGAGAGGGAAGCGTAAGGAAGAGGATTAGAGAGGGAGGAAAGAGGGAGGAGGAAGTGGGGAAGAATGGAGGAGAAGGCAGAATGGAACATTACTATTGAGGGAGGTGAGCGAGCCGGACGCACTGAGATGCGTCTCCTTGCCCGACGTGACTAAGGCTTCTCACACGTACTTCATTCACTGCTCCCTCGGCAGTACTTGGTGGAGCTTCGAGCCTTCTCAACGTCTCCAACATCTCCAGCAGCTCCAGTGAACACCCTCGTTGATTCCTACGTTAGCCTCTGCGTGTTTGTGTGGGGACAATTATGCAGATGTGATATTCCAATCATTCAAGAATTACACAGTCCTTACGTGTGCTGGCATCTGTTACTTATAGCCCAAATTACGTGTAGGATACAATCATCTTCATCCACTGGATGTGGAGAACATCCAAGCGGAAGATTTGGTCGGGCGATTCGGATAACTACCTGTCCAGGCGTTGAAATCTCCCAGCGGTTGCATTGTGGGGTCAGCCTCTGAAGTGACACTCTCTCTCTAGTCTCATTTCTCTCCTTTATTCAGGAGATGAAACAAGGTTTCAGTGTGACAACATTTCGCTCAGTGATGCCAAATATTGTGCTGTGTTCGTGAATATTTACGGAAGAGATACAAAAGTAACTTCCCAAATTGATAGACGAGAATCATGTAAACAGAAAAGTATGAATTTTGTCGTGGTATTTATGACAAAGGTCAAGTGACCCATTTGTCATTTATAATATCTATGTTTCAAACTTTGCGTATTTCTGGTGGCAAAATAATTATATTAATTGCATTATTACCCCAGATAAATATTTTATGTGAAGTATTTGATAAAAATGCATTAAGGTGTTGACATGAGAATGAGTGAAGCGAATGGAATGGAGGCTGGAATCTCAGTGTAAAGATGCTTTATCTAGTGATAATACCGTGCCAGATGAGGTAGTGGTAGACAGTACAGTGACCCAGCTGAACCAGTGCCAAACAAAGTAATAGCAGATAAAACAGTGCTACCCAAAACAGTGCCATACGAAACAGTGCTAGCCAAAACAGTGCCATACGAAACAGTGCTGGCTCAGTGATAGCTGAAACAGTGCCAGACGAAACAGTGCTGGCTCAGTGATAGCTGAAACAGTGTCAGGCTAACTAGTGTGAGTCGATAGTGCTATCTGTAACAGTGCCAGAGGAAGCAATGCCTGGCTCAGTGCAGTGCCAACTTCTATCTTCTCAAAACAGTTTGGATTTAACTCAACATCACAGGTATCTAACACCTCATTGTAGGCCATAGAACATAAAAACAATGAAAAATTATGAATACTCGAAACATTACAATGAAGCTTTATAATGCAAACTTACTTTGAATACTAAAATCGTTACAATGAATACAAAATAAACATGGCTGAACATCCACCATCCATGGAGACTCAGAAGGTAAGCAACTAGACTTGAAAAAAATTGTGATACCCTTCAAGCTCATCTAAGGAATTACCTTCCATTTCCTCAGATCAAACCTTATTACCCCTAATTACCCAGGTGCTGTATGGTCGTTACGTTCTTATGGGTTTGAAGTTCCCCACGAACAACTAATTATATATATATATATATATATATATTATATATATATATATATATATATATATATATATATATTATATATATGCAATAAGATCACAGTAAACAGGTGATTTCAAAATATTGCAAAACAACCACTCTGAAAGAATAGAGAAATTCCAAGCGCTTTCGTGACTACTCACATTATCAATTCCTTGATAATGTGAGTAGTCACGAAAGCGCTTGGAATTTCTCTATTCTTTCAGAGTGGTTGTTTTGCATTATATATAATATATATATATATATATATATATATATATATATATATATATATATATATATATATATATTATATATATATATATATTTATATAATATATATATATATATATATATATATATATATATATATATATATATATATATATATATATATATATATAATATACGTATATATATATATATATATAAATTATAAGTTTTAGGAATTAGTCAGTGGTAAGAATAATGGGAATGGGTCTTGTGCAAGAATGGGTCCTGTGTAGGAATGGGTCTTGTGGGGGTATGGGTCTAGTGTGGCTCTTGTGTAAGAGCGATTAAGTAATTCATACTTCTGAACCTGGGATGATTTCGACCAGGAATGAATGGGAAATAATCAAGTTAAATCTGAGTGAGTGAGAGAGGGCCTCAGTCTGTCTGTCTGTCTGTCTGTCTCTCTCTCTCTCTCTCTCTCTCTCTCTCTCATTCTCCTCCTGTACATATCTGCACCTACAAGGAACACCTCCGCAAATCTTCATTCTTTTATTTATTATAATCCAAGACTTACGGCTAAATATTTAACAGACGTGGGTTCCAACAGACAACTTTTACCAAATTTTCAAAAGACAGTTTTTACCAATTTTCAATATATTACAAACTAGTATTTAGATCTCCATTGAAAATATTAGCGATAATGCTAGAAAAACGTGACATCACTGAACAGATGATGACATAGATATACGCTTTCTACAATGATGTCAGTGAAACACATTGAAAACTGCAAGAAAATCACTGAAAAAAATCCGTCTTGAGAATGACATAGCAAATAGATAAAATTAACTGATAAATACCCGTATTAAAGTCCGACTAATGAGAATATATTACGCAATCAAACCGTTTTTTTCCTTTGACAATCAATTGTGCAGCCAAAAAAAAGGTTTATTGATATTATATGAACAGTTGCAGTCGATTATAATAATCTCCAGCAAGTGCATAAATGCATATTGCAGAGAGTGGGCTTTGCAATCTAAGTCAAGAAATATGGCTGCAACATGGCTGGAAGCCACACCAGGCAGTCAATATATCATCACGCAGGTGATAACATACTCAAGACGTCCTTAAAAGGTCTTAGAAAAAAATGCTAGCGACTTGATCAGGAGCCAACAAGTAGCGAGAAAGTAACAGTGAGCATAGGACGAAGACTGAGCCATAATACTGTGAAGGAACACATCACAGAAGGTTAAAAATCATTTTAATATGGCTGGAACAAATCACAAAAGTATAAAAGTCAAGGTATCATGGCTGGAACAAATCACAAATGAATGAAAGTGACAATATCATAGCTGAGACAATTTATGAAAAGATAAGAATCATTGTATTATGGCTGGAAAAACCACACTACACTGACTGAAAAAAATCGCAAAATAATAAAAGCCACAGTATCGTGACTGGAACAAATCACAAAATAAAAATCACAATACCATGACTGGAACAAATCACAAAAAACACAATACTATGACTGCAACAAATCACAAAAACCACAATACCATGACTGGAACAAATCACAAACAAACCAATACCATGACGGAAAAACCACAAAAAAAACTCAATACCATGACAACAAATCACAAAATAAAACCACAACACCATGGGGGAACAAACCACAAAATAAAACTACAATACCATGACGAACAAATCACAAAATAAAACCACAACCCATGGCTGGAACAAACCAAAAATAAAAACCACATTACCAGGACTGGAACAAATCACAAAATAAAGACCACAATACCATGACTGGAACAAATCACAAACTACAATACCATGACTGGAACAAACCACAAAAAAACTACAATACCATGACTGGAACAAATCACAAAAAAAACTACAATACCATGACTGGAACAAATCACAAAATAAAACTACAATACCATGACGAACAAATCACAAAATAAAACCACAACACCATGGCTGGAACAAACCACAAAATAAAAACCACATTACCAAGACTGGAACAAATCACAAAAACCACAAAAACCATGACTGGGAACAAATAAAACAAAAACACAATACCAAGACTGGAACAAATCACAAAAACCACAATACCAAGACTGGAACAAATCACAAAAACCACAATACCAAGACTGGAACAAATCACAAAAACCACAATACCAAGACTGGAACAAATCACAAAAACCACAATACCATGACTGGAGCAAATCACAAAATAAAAACCACAATGCCATGGCTGGAACAAACCACAAAATAAAAACCACAATACCACGATTGGAACAAATCACAAAAAACCCTCACTTTTGAGGATACATAAAACGACGTTTCGGCCCACACTGCACCATTATCAAGGTTGAACATGAAAAGCTACGCATTTATACTCGAAAACAAATCTACCAGAGGTCGAAACGTAGTCAAAAAAATGTTGTACTTTGTATACATGTCTGATTATGGATGTCTGACCCTCTTCTAAGGTATATCTTTACGGGTTTAGCGCTCCGTATGGATATAAAAATCATCTAATAGAACGTCAGTCGTGTCCCTTTTAAACTATTGTTTCTGATCTAAAACGTCATAGACCTTTGGAGCGAAACGTGCTGCTGAGAATAGTGAAGAAATGACACTTTGCAGCATGAGCTTCTATGAAGGGAACGTTTCGCTCTTGTGTAAGTCCTTATCATCACCCGAAGAGCTACATAGTTCGAAACGTTCTCACTGGAAGTTTGGTCAGAAAAGTGTCAGTTTTCCTAGCTTTCCACTCTTGATGGAGCGAAACGTCATATTTACTTCTACAAATCATACGATGCGAAGAGCTTTATAGAGAAACGTTTTTACCCCCAACGTTTCGTACACAATTTTGACTCATGACACTAAAATTATTTAGATAAAAACTCCTTACAATTTAGACGACGTTTCGATCCATCCTGAGCTCTTATTAAATGGCAATTGATAATAGTTCAGGTGGGACCGAAACATCGCCTGATTTTTTCTCTCTTAAATGCTGGTGATGTGTGAAATGTTTCAGCTGCGGTATTGCGACTTTTCGAACATACTGTAAAATCTGATTCACTTCTGTACTCGCCTATTTGTGGTTGCAGGGGTCGATTCACGGCTCCTGGCCCCTTGGAAGCACTAAGCCCGTAGGGGTCATACAGGGTCTGGGAAACGGTAAGCAATCAAGGGTAATTTAATAATGGAGAGTGATCAATTTTCTCTCTGTCTTTCTCTCTTTCTCTTTTCTTTCTTTTTCTTTCTTTTTATCTATTTCTTTTTTTCTTTCTATTTCTTTTCTCTCTCTTTCTCTCTCTTCCTCTTTCTCTCTCTTTCTCTCTCTCTCTCTCTTTCTCTTTCTCTTTTCTCTTTCTCTTTCCTCTTTTCTATTTTTCCCCCCTCTTTCCCCTTTTCTCTCTCTCTCTCTCTCTCTTTTCTCTCTCTCTCTCCCCTCTCTCTCTTTTATCTCCCCTCTCTCTTTCTCTCTCTCTCTCTCTCTTTTCCTCTCTCTCTCTCTTTTCTCTCTCTCATTCTTCTCCGCCAATTCTCTCATTTTAACACATGTTTTTATTCAACATATTCCAGTAATTAGGTATACCAATATTTCCTCTCTCAATACTACATAGGTACCGAGAATACATGATAGAGGGATACTTTTTAATGTCCAGGACGTAGTGGGATACAGTATAATGTTCAGTGGTAACAATGTTCACAAATGAATGACCTGGGTTCAATCCTGGGTGCTAGTGGATTGCTTAGGGTCAGATATAATAATAATGATGATAATTATAATAATTTCTACCAGTACCTGATACAACTTATACAGACCATAGCTCACATCAATGACATACTATATAGATAGTTGATGGTTATGTAGAGCATTTCCCGCAACTTAGGTTAATGTTGTCCCCAGGATGCATCTCACACCAATAGACTAACAGCCAGGTACCTACTTATTGCTAGGTGAACAGGGACAGCAGGAGTCTTAAGGAAACACTTAATGCTTTCACCTGTACCGGGGATCTAGCCACAGACTTCAATGTGAGTCGAGTGCGCTACCAACTGAGCTTCGGGATGAGACGTATTGGCGAACCTCTTTATACTTGGAACTGGAATAGCATGTAAATACCATTTAAGAGCTGTTATTAGCAGAAACGTTTCGCTCACACAGTGGAAGAAACATAGAGATTATCCTTGTATTAATGCTGTTTAGTACCGAAGAATTGATGTATAAAACATGTGTGTAATACTTGGGTATATTGCTGAAACGTTTCGCCTGCGCAGCAGGCTTCTTCAGTCGAATACAGTAGAAAATACACTAAAAGGGAAATATTAATACAGGTACAGACGAAGAAAAATGATGTGCATGGGAGTATGTTAGAACTCTGGAACGTTAGATGCATGGATAAGCTGTAAAATTAGAACTCTGGAACGTTAGATATATGGATAAGCTGTAATGTTAGAACTCTGGAACGTTAGATGCAAAGGGTTTAAACTGTAATGTTAGAACTCTGGAACGTTAGATGCATGGATAAGCTGTAATGTTAGAACTCTGGAACGTTAGATGCATGGATAAGCTGTAATGTTAGAACTCTGGAACGTTAGATGCATGGATAAGC